ATGATTTTTCATACAGGTAATAAATAATATCAGTACTCTTCATCTGTCCTCTAAACAATACATTGTTTTATTTGGATAAAATGTTAATTGTTTCTTTGATATTATCTACTATTTGATCTTCAGTAAATGTAACAAATAATGTGCAAATGAGACACCTAGCGACCAGATAATCGTGGTTTTTAAGTTCATTGTATACAACACAAATAAAAAATATTACAAAATATCAACTATTTGCTAATGAATAAGATTGAATTCAACATTTACAGGTTGTAATATCTGATTAATGTTATTAACAATTTATTATTTTTCAATTATAAATTTGGTACATTGGGCATTAATTGAATTATTTACGATCTGAGTGGAATAATACAACTCTATAAACTTGTATGGACGCTACGCTCTTAGTTATAAGACTTTTGTAACCATTTTTTTGTTAAAGACTCAACAGATGAAAATAATAAGTAGCGATCGATATATGTATTCTCTGGAGGAAATTACCTCATATAATCTTCGAGTCGACTTCCTGGGTTCTCTTTTATAACTGGAACTGAAGATAGTCTAAAACAATAAAGAGAAAAATACTGCTGACGAAACTAATTATCAATTATTTACAAAACATACCTGATGATCACTCTGGGAATATTCTTCATCTAAAAACTTTTTTTAAAGCAATATTTTGCCTTTTTACCCAGATAAGTTTAAAAATTTACAATTTTAAAAATGCACCAAAAAAGTCTGTAAATCTGAAAAAATAAAAAAATATTTTAATTTACATATATAATGTGCAGAGAAAAAATGCCTACAGAAAAACGATATGTACATATTTAAAAAAAAATATTGTTAATTATTTTGATAATTGATTCTTTTTATAATAAATTTTGGATGTGCCCTAGATTGAACCTAGTACAGTTGCCCAGTTCGGAGAGAAGTTCCAAAACTTCATCACAGTACGCCTACAAGTAAATAATGTTGACTTTTCTTAAAAATCATAACTCTTGTGTAAGAAACAGATTTTAAAAGTTTCCCCATTTTAGAGTGGATTTGCACATCTTTTTTGCAGAGAAAATGAGGCTTTACAAACAACTCTGAATTTCCAATCTTTATACCTTTGCAACCCAATGTCGTAGACCTTAGATATAAGGGACTGTATGCTAGAACAGGTTATCTGGTAATTAAAGGGACTGTATGCTAGAACAGTTTATCTGGTAATTAAAGGGACTGTATGCTAGAACAGTTTATCTGGATTTTAAAGGGACTGTATGCTAGAACAGGTTATCTGGCAATTAAACGGACTGTATGCTAGAACAGTTTATATCTGGTAATTAAAGGGACTGTATGATAGAACAGTTTATCTGGCAATTAAACGGACTGTAAGCGTAATTTCAATTGACCCTCACAAGTCGCATCCAAAGATGGCTATGTACGATTTACAACGGTACCCTTAAAAGCTTTGTCTGATCACAGGGGACATTAGTTCCAAAACTAACACTAGGCCCATTTCTAACACTGAGTGTTAGAAATGGGCACAAATTGAAAGACTGGGTTTTTGGGATCCCGCCCCATATTGAGAGTAAAAGTTGATAATAAAACTATAACCAACATTTTATTAAACATGACGAGGAAAACAATTTCCAATTTTAATTTTTTTAAATAAGTTCCTGTTATATTAAAGCTCTTGACCGTTTTCAAGACAATGTTTGGTTTTACATTTTTCGAACATATCCTGGATTTGAAACATTGTCGCGAGACAAAACCCAGTTTCCCGGTTTTGAGTATAACCCGCAATTCAAAACAAAACTCACTTTCATAACTTACAAAATAAATCACTGTGAACAAAAATTATCTTATGAAGTCTAAACTAACTTCTGAATTATTTCCAGAATCTAAGTTTCCACATTTTATCATTAAATTAGAGAATATCGATGATTTATTTTCAAGCATTTAAAACAAACAGTTTCCCGCATTTCAAGTTAAATCTATGTTGTAAGAACAAATGATATTAATATTTTGATTTCTAAATGCTTTAATGATTTTTAAATTATAAAAGAACAGTTTGTTTTTATTTCCTATTTTGTTTATATTTTACCTTATCAAAAAATCTTGTTTTGTTTCATAAATGCGTAAATGCTTGAAAATTGACATTGATATGAATTCCGGTAATTGTCTCAAAACCAGGATATGTTCCGAAAACGTGACATGAGCTGAAATCCGGTAATTGTTTCAAAATAGGGTGTTAGTTTTGGAACTATTATCACCTGGATCAAGTATAGATTTGTTTTTTTAACCTGTTTATTTTCATTTGTTTGTTCTCTGCAAAAGTGACTTGCGCATTTCTTGGTTATAAGAAGCAATGGAGAAACTAAACACTCTTTGAGTCAGAAAACTGATGGCTTTTTTTTCCACAGTTTTAATCAGATTAAAGTTTTATGGGTAATGTTGTAAATCGGACATTGCCATCTTTGCATGAAGGGTTATTTGAAATTATGCTTACAGTCCTTTTAAGAAATCTAATCCCTTCAATGAGAAAAAAATATATGTTAAAATGTTTGGTAATTGTCATTCGGTCTTTTGAGAAACCCTGATTTTCTAATCAGAATATCTTTGTGACTCGATGTTGTGAATATTTGATATTTCAAAGTTAGACTATCAATGATAAAACGAAATTTAAAGTTTGAAATTTCTAAGGTTCACAACATCTGGTTGCAAAGATACAAGGATTAGAAAATCAGAGTTTGTGGCAAAACTCAATTCCTTTGTACATTATATTTTTCAACTTGGGAAAAAGTCAGTTTTGGAATGTTCTTTTAAAATAGAGAATTACCTATTTGTAGTGTTAACTGTGATGATCCAATACTTTTGAGAAGTTTTATCAAAACAAATAAAAATATCTCCTCCTTGTATCTTCTGTGTTGTAAAAAACAAACCTTAAAAAAAGTTTTTTTTATTTAAAGAGAAAGTTTGCGAAACCTGAACTTATGATTTAAAGAGAGTGTTTACAAAACCTGAGAGTAAGAAATATATATTTGAATTATGAATAATGGAATTGGTTTTTTGCCGCAAACTCTGATTTTCGAATCTTTGCAAGTTGCAACCCAATTTCATAGATATTTCAAAATATGAAGTGTGCTATCTCAAATGATCTAAGTTTGAAATATATCCCCATCAAATTTAAGAACCTGGAATCTGGATTAGTTGTAAAAACAAGAAAAAGACCTAAAATGTTCTAAACAAGAAAAAGACCTAAAATGTTCTAAACAAGAAAAAGACCTGGAATGTTCTGAACAAGTAAAAGACCTGGAATGTTCTGAACAAGAAAAAGACCTGGAATGTTCTAAACAAGAAAAAGACCTGGAATGTTCTAAACAAGAAAACGACCTGGAATGTTCTAAACAAGAAAAAGACCTGAAATGTTCTAAACCAGAAAAAGACCTGGAATGTTCTAAAACAAGAAAAAGACCTGAAATGTTCTAAACAAGAAAAAGACCTGGAATGTTCTAAACAAGAAAAGACCTGGAATGTTCTAAACAAGAAAAAGACCTGGAATTAGGGATGTTAACGTTTTCATTTTTGAAAACGACGACGAAAAATCGAAAACGAAACGATCGCTTTTAAAAACGGCCGTTTTTTTAAAAGTTCGTTTTTTAAGAATGGTCGTTTTTATAAAATTCGTCGTTTCGTTAACGATTGTTACCGACGACCCTTCGTTAACGATAGTTAGCGTCGAACCTTCGTTAACGATCGTTAACGACAACCCTTTCTTTAACAATCGTTAATGAAGAGAATAAACCGACCTGAAGGGCATCTGTACTTATTATTGAGTAGTTTTTAAGAAAATATCAAGAAGTTTTAACTCCCCCACAACTGTTAAACTTCATGTAAGACGACATTTAATAAAGTTGCATGTAATTTTTTTCCAAAAACGACCGTTTTGATAAAGTTCGTCGTTTCGTTAACGATTGTTAACGACAACCCTTCGTTAACGATCGTTAACAACAACCCTTCGTTAAAGATCGTTTACATAGTTGTCAGTAAAATTTTTTTTTAAACAATCGTATAAAAAACGGTCGCAAATAGTTTTAATAAAAACGATCGTTTTCAAAAACGATCGTTATTCGTTTTTTAAAAGTTCAAAACGAGTGGGTCGTTTTTAAAAACGATAGTTTTTTCCGAAAACTAAACGAAACAAAAAAACGATCGTTAAAGGATCGTTTACAAAAACAATTAACAACCCTACCTGGAATGTTCGGAAGATCAAGAAGAATATTAGAAATTTCTGTAAAGGGTTGAAAACAGCATCTTCTGCTGTCAAGCTGACCCTAGGCTCAAATATATAGTTAAAGAAACTGTTGACGAAATTTCAATTGATCCTTCCTTAAATGAGATATATGCCGGATACAAAACTGATCTGATCTTTGGTCTGATCCTCGGATTAAACATATCTAATCTGATTCGGAACAGTTTAGTCATTTAGAGGGACTGTTAGTGCGATTGCAAGAGAACTTTCATTTAAGATTACATTAACCGACTCATACATTTTAAACTTTTATCTGATCAAAAATGTTGAAGATATTGTCGTTTCTCTGGGGTTGTTAGTGTAAGTTTTGTGAATTGGTCATTGATGTCTTTGCCTTGTAGGTCTCTTGAAACTACGCTGACAGTCCCTTTAAATAAAAATGATATTTTGTAATTGCAGAAATGATTATATTTTAATCAGTTAAAAAAAGTACAAAATATCTCCAGCAAATGAGGAGTAGTCGGTGTTAGCCAAATCTTACAAATCATTCGATATATGATTGAACTTTTTTTGATCCGAATGGTTGAACATAAAGTTAGGACTTCCTGCAACAGTTTGGTGAAGTGAGAACCGGAAAACTCTGGAAAAGGAAGACGACTTTCAGACTATAGTTATGATTTTAAATAGTCCAATGAACATGAGACAACTGTTTTCTATGTAACAACATCAAATACCTCTATGTATTGCTTTAATGTCATCTTTCTTTCTCATAGTTTTCTGATTCTCACTGTATAAACAAGACCAAATTTAATGAATTAAGCAAAAGGTCGACTTTAAATTATCATCCTTTGTGGAGTTTATATATATGAATATTAGCTGAAGTGCCCGGCGTTGCAAGTGGAATTTCGAAAAAAAAACTTTGAAATTTGTTTTTGAATAAAAAGCTTTAATTTTGACTTTGATTGAAAAGATCAGGATGTGTATTATGACATGCGAAAAAGTAAAAGTCGTAAAATCAAAGGTGCATAGGTTTCTAGGGGTGATAGTATTAAAATACAAAAAAAAATATCTCTAAGTTGATGAACTAGTTTCAGAAAAAGGGGGGGGGGCAATTCGACACTTTGTTGCACCAAATTTTGTGTAGGCTGCATTAGGTTATACAAATTGATATAAGGGGATAAAGGTTTGCATACAGGTAGGGATGTTGCCATCTTACTAGATCACAAAGAAAATTTGGGCTCGGAGGTCATCTTCCATCAAAAAACAAGGTTTTGCCGAAAAACCGAAAACGACTTGCACCTGATTTTCACAAAATGATCATATTGGGAGGGGGCCACATTGCCCATAGATGCACTTAAAGACGCTATGCGCCCAAAAATTCGTTTTGTGTCACCCTAATGTGAAATGTCTGTATGCATTGTAAAAATGTCGTTTGCAATCCCTTTAATTTGCAATCCCTTTAATTTGAAATTTTAATCATGAAATACCTCTTGAGTAGGGTTTTTATCTGCTACAAGAGGTCTCTTCTCTCCCGGCATAACACCAACATGACATACTTTTTTTACATTTTCAAACATTTTAACAGACAATTTTATTTTTCCAATGCTTAAAAAGATGTAACTTTTAAAATATTGGGGTTTTAAGCTTTACATTTTTTTACGTGATCTTTTATAAAAGGTTTGCATGGCAGGTTAAATCTTGACTGTTTATCTTGATAAAAG